ATATAATGGAAGAGAAAAGTGATTTGACCTGATCGTTGCCTTCACCATTTTTAAAGAATTGCCCCTTTTAGCAATCCACAGAGGAGTAACATGATATGGATACATTTTTTACACAGGTTTTCTCTAAATGTAACATTTTACTTCCATTGAAACTCCAATTGTTCCATACCAATCATCTTGTTAAAATTTTGTATTTCTAACACACCAGGAATTATAGACAACTTTCTCACAGGCTATTCCTGTTATTTGATGGACCCCAGGTTAGAAAAAAACATCAGCCAAACGTCTTTAGACTTGCTAACCATTGTTCTCTGGAAGCTTCTTGAGATTGTCTTCATGAAAGCCAGGAAACAATGAAATCAGTAATGTGTGAGTGTAACCAGTTTGCTTAGATATGTCATAGGACTGATTGTACAACTGGGATATTGAGATAGGAAAGCTTATTTATGCACACCAGATGCATAAAGGTCAGCCAGAGAAAGGCGACTCATGTTCTTGTCCAAAAGGTAGCATAGAGTTTGTGAAATAAAAATATGATAATTCTTTTGACTTGTCAAAAATATTTCAAATCCTTACTCTATTTTCTTTTTTAAAATGGCAATACTGCATTTTGCGAACTTATTATTTAACAGTCGTCAGTGCTGATTCTCATCATTCTCTCTAGATGTGAGAGAGAAGGGGAGAAGAGTTTTATGGATATTTACTAAGAAATCCCACTAAATTCAAAAGTCCTTTTTTGTCTTATATTTTGATAACTTCTAGAACTTTTTAATTTGGGATTGTTGAAGGAAAAGTCTTCATCATGGTTCAGTCCAAGCCAAGAATAAACAACAAGGTGACTGCTTTAGAAAGAAGGTTGCAATTTATTGAAGAGGCGAGCCAGACAGAAAGATGGCTCTGGAAGAAAAGAGAGAAAGCACATGTAGGGAGTGGGTTTTTATACCCTCTGGGGGCTCTTGAGGTTGTTTCCTGTTCCTGTTTGAGGCTTTGTATTTCCTGTATCATGTATTTTGACCTGAGTCTGAGTGTGCCCCTTTGGCATCTGTGGGTTAATCCTATTATGTCCTGTCTTAGAGTTTGGGTGGGGTACGTAGATTTTAGGTGTCTTTGTCTTCTTAATCTTCTAGCTTCAATCTTCCTGAATGGTTTACATCTGCATTTCTACAGAGCTGGTTTCTCCTTGGGGGAAGGAGACTTGGGGATATTAAGAAGAAAAACTGGGCATGCTTTTCTGCCTCTTCAAGATCCTTTGAGGAAATATATTTTTCTGCCCTTTTAATATTTCCTTCTCTGGGGGGCTGACTTCCCACAGGATATAAGTCTGGCTGTGGAAATGAAACTGCCTTGTTCCCTCATGCCATGGTGCCTCTATACAAATGAGTTAAAAATCATGTATTTTGAAGCAAAAAGTGTTAATATGAGGCAAACATATATATTCATTTGTTAAATTTATATACTATAGGTGCCCATCTCATTAGAGCTATATATAGCTCAAGATCACATTATTTCTTCCTCCAAATGAGCCACACTTAATAAGGACAGTGCATATAGCCATGTTTCACCCCTTTGTCTACCTATGTATCTTGAATAAAATACAGGAGTTGTTGTGGTTTATCACTCCTGTGATAGCCATAACAATGTAGAAGTGTGGGAACTCAAGGACTGTTCTGATAAGCTTTGGCAGGTTGAGAGGCTGGAGAGAAAAGCTCCCGTTTTGTGCTAATTGGGGAATGTGATTTATGACAGTTCTTGTAGGGTGGAAATTGCAATTTGTTACTTTGTATCTGGGAGGAGGGAATCTCATTCTTGGGTTCAACTATGTAAGTGCCGATACTTTGTTTCCTAATGAAATGTTCTTTACGGAAGAAATCTTGCCTTGAGGTTCTTTTAATTGGTTTTATCTATCAGAATCATGATAGAGGGAGCAATTGTGAGGACCACAAGGGAGGGAGGTATCTCAACGGATCAGGGGAGGTCTTGGATGGTCTGAAGCAGGTGGCCTGTCCCATCACTACCCCCCCATGGTCTTCCCCACCCTGAGATACCTCATGTGCATTTAATGAGCCACGCATTCAATTAGTGAATGCGTGGGCAAAAGAAGGGAGTGATGGCATTCAAGATACGAATCCTCGAGTTACGAATAGCATAGGTAGGCTCCATTACATTCATAACTCGAGGATTACCTGTACACTATTAAAGCTCTCCTGTTTGTTTCTGTATAAATTTTAAGTGGGCAAAAGAATGCATCGTAGGGCAATAATTTTTGATCCAAGATACCTGAAATAGGTTTACTTACAATTGAAAATCCGGAACCTATGGCTTCTGTGGAATTGAATTGGGTAAATTTTATGAAGCATTTTATGACATAAAATCATCATAAGACATCTTAGGACATAATGCAACATGTCACAAAATATTTCCTGTTGTCAACTGATCTTTGACCATGCTTTACAGTTCAAAATGCCAATTTTCAAGGCAGATACATCTCTGAATATCTCCCTGAATTTTTAAGAATTCTTCTAGTGAAGACAGTACATTAAAAGTTCTGTTATTGTTGAAGGCATTGAGGAACCTGGTAAGGTGATATCTCTGAAACAATGACTCTCTGGTATTAATTAAAATGCTGAATAGGACAAGAGAGTTCTAGGTTCAAGTCCACTTTCATTCACAATATCTTAGGCAACTTTGCTTTAGTGACTATCAATCAAATAACCTGGAGTTTCTATTGTAAAGCAATATTGGAGGGAATATATAAGTCTAGGAGAAAAAGTGAGATATTAATCTAACAAATAAAATAAAGTGTTTATTTATTTATGTTTTCCTAACTTGGATTATAATTTAAATCTATGTTAATATAATATCGGGAGAGTTTAGAGAGATACTTTATTAGACGAAGTAAAATGAAACAAAGGATTATGACAATAGATAAGTCTGCAACTGATGTGCAAGGGAGGCTATTAACGGAGATTTAATGACATTTTATCACTTACACAGGTAAAAGGTAACATGCACTTATAAAGATATACTTTTTTCTGTGACATTTTAGGAATTGAAAGACAACATAGATGCAGAATAATTATGTAAAATGAATAAAAAGATTGAACATGAAACAGGAGTTCATCTCCCTGAAATATTACCAATGCACAGCATTTCAAATAGGACATTCATGGTTAAAAACCATAAATGATTATAAATATTGAACCCTAAAAATCATAAGGTATACCTTTTGCTTAAGGATTCAAACATAGAGGTATAATGCTTTATTTTATAACTGCTCTGTTACTTTGAACAATGTCTATTCTTCAGAAGAAATACAGAATTTGGCATGTTTCTTGGACTGTTTATTTAAACTGAAGGTGCCATTTTAAGTAATACTAGACAGAATAATGTTCTTTTATTACTGTTGTTTAGTCTACAAATAATGCATATTCCTAAATAGTTAATATTGAAATAACATTTTTTGCAGGGTTACAAAGTGAAGATATCTGCCCAAAGGTAGAAAAAAATATCCAATATGAAAATATAAAAAGGAAGAACAGGAGAGAAAGGCAATGCCTGAACTTATTGAAAGAAGAGTTTGATAAATTAAAGACAGAACCATCATTTCTTCCTACACATCATGTTCAGTCAAAAGAAAACAATTTGGAAGATGTTGCAGTTGACAAACATGAAAACAAAGAAGATAAAGAGGCAAAAGAAGCCGTCTGTGACAAATTAATAACAGTAATACGAAGTCATAGAACACCATCTACATGTAAAAAAATATGTATTTTCAGAGGCCATTGAAAATTTGCATCACGGATATTTTCCACAGGTCCCAAAGATAGCATGCAGTAGAAGACTGAAGAAATGGAAACAGGGTGAAATAGCTGACTTTATAGGAGATTCAATCACTAATTATGAGCCCTCATTTGTCAAATTTCCCAAAGATGGTCAAAAAGACAGCCCTTCAACAGCTGATGAAGAAAACAGTCTGAACATACCTCCAGAAAAGAAAAGGCTTCTTTTGGAAAAACTGTTTGGTCCAAACTACATCTTAAATAGCAATGGTCGAAATACTAATTTAAGCATGGCGGGTAAGGAAAAAAAATCTTTGCAGAGTAAAAAACCCTATGATGAGTTTTGATACACAAATGATAGCTTGCAGTGATGATTCCAGTCAAGCCCCTAAACATGTTTTTCAGAAAATTGCCTTCTTTGACAATTGTTTTTTTTTTTTACCCCATATCCAGTATTTTTAACTATTGATAGTAGATATGAGTGTAGATATTAGAAATACTGTTTCCTTAAAAGTAAGACCTGGTCTTACTTTCTTTTGGGCTCTGAAGTAAGCACTAGCATTTACTTTCAGGGAGGGCTTACCTTTTGCCGGTACTAGTAGGTAGCGAGCGCGTGGGGGTGGGGTGGGATCTGTGCATGGGGTGGAGAAGCAACACGGCGGCAAGAGCGTGGTGGTGGACCAGGTATGGTACTGGTGCAGGTGGAATGCCTGCCCTTCCCATACCAGGCCAGCCCCTGCAGCCCCAGAGCGGCCATTCTGGGCAGCAACAGGAAGGGCGCCGAGTTGGAGGAACCGGTATACCGGCACGTGGGTCAGATTCCCCCCTCCCCCATCAGCTTTGCCTCATCGCAGAGGCACTGGCAGATCCCCACCCTTATCTCATGTCTTATATTAAGCCCATCCCCCGAAAATCAGCTGGGGCTTACTTTCTGGGGCGGGTTTACTTTCGGGGAAACACGGTAGTAGATTTTACATACTAGATATTAGTATTTAGAATTAGGATATGTTAGTAGATATTAGATAGTATTAGAATTAGTAGTTATTAGGTAGAACCATGTGATAGTACATATTAGATAGCATTAGAATTAGTAGATATTAATAGATTTTAGATACTATTAGAACAAATATAGCATCACACACAGTAATATTTCATATTCAGCAAATATCCTACACATCATCTAACAATGAAAGGAAATAACTGTATATCAAGCAAAAGTCATTGATTGTGGTAGAAGTTATATTTCAATAATTGAATATTTAACAATGAAGTGAACAAGAATTAAGGAGTTGCATGTTTTCAAATATTGTTAACTTCCGTAAGAGTAAAGAAAATTTTAAATAGTTGGTTTTTTATTTTATTTTAAAAGCTGCATCCTTCTAGTCTTTCACATTCTTGAGATTTATCTCCTATCATAGCAGAATACTGAAAAAATGACAGGAGTTCAAATATTGCTGAAAGTGAGACATGTTTCTTTCTCAATTGAATGGGTATAACATAATGGCAACAACTTTGTTGCAAACCACCAACCAACATGTAATTCCGACACCACCTAAAAAAGATTAAAAGGTATGCTGTAAATACCAAGTATCAGTAGCTCATGCATATATATATATATATAAAAGGATTTGCATAGCAAAACTGAGTAAGTAGTTAAATCTGCCCTTGAGAGTTTAGGAAAAAAGAGTAATTATCAGGTGATTACACAGTACAAGTAAAATATAAAATCTGGAAATTTTATGTACATTGGCTATTGCCCAGAATTATCTGCTTTACTGTAATTTTCATTAGAATGAATGGAAATTGCTCAACAAACTGCTTTTAGAACATTAACTTTTCATTTTAAAGAAATATATAACTGGCTCCCAATGAGAAATATTCAGATGCATTAAGGAATAAACCAAATATGATTAATAGGTGAAATACACTACTAATCTTAAATATTTAGCCATAATTATGGCTCTTTAATATGCAAGTTTCCCTTAAATATCTGAACTACGGTAGCTCTATCTTGTAGGCATGCTGTTAGACACAGACAACTGTCCTAGAATCAAAACACAGATTTATTTGGCCCTATATTGTTTATAATAATAGGCAGATGATTATTACATTTGGAACATTTCTAGCTCTATGAAAAAATAATCCTGAAAAAATTGTTAACTTGTATGCTTTTATTTGTTAAATATATGCTTTTATTTGTTAAATATATATAGCAGACCAAGAGTTGGAAAAATTACGGCGCTGGGGGTTGGCCAGCATTCAGCTCCTGATTTGGCCAGCATTCAGCTCCTGATTTGGCCAGCATTCAGCTCCTGATTTGGCCAGCATTCAGCTCCTGATGGGTTGGCCAGCATTCAGCTCCTGAAAGGGACGGGCCCTCGCGGCGCGTACGCACCAAGGCGGGGGACGCGCGGCTGAGGCGTAGCTGGCAAGCGGCAGAGATGGAGCAGGCCGACCACCAGCTGGCCCAGCCCAAGGGAGGTAAGGCACCCGCCGGAAAAGGGGGAAAAATGGCGGACAAAAAAAATGGTGGACAGCCTTGCTTGGCGACCCCCGTGAAATGGTCAATCGACCCCAAATGGGGTCGCCACCCATAGGTTGAGAACCACTGATATATAGGATCCAGATACAGGGATTACGGGGTAAAGTTTCTGAAGAAACCCAAATAGAGTAATGTATTTAAAATCAAGAAAGAAAGAAGTATTAAATTCATACAAAAGAGCAGAAAGTATTTTACATGCAATAGCCTTACCTGCCACTCCTGTTGGAAAAGCTACTAAGCGTTCCAAAGGGGCTAGCCATTTGCTTGGGAGCACAGTAACTGGTTCAGAGTAATATTTCCAAATTAATGATATCATTAAGGCACCCTGAAATAAAAAAGTTATTATTCAGATATGTGTGAAAGGTACAAAATTGTTGCATTCTTTACTAAAGTAACTATATATTTCTGAAGCTTACTGTTATATAACAATACTATTTTGTGAAAATGATATTTGCATGAATCCAGGTCCCTCTATTTCAGACATGTCAAACTCGCGACATCACGTGATGTCGCGAGACGTATCGAGACTATTTTGCCATTGCCGGCAATGGGGTGGGCGCGGCTCCTGCATGATGAAACCGGCCCGCAGGCCGGCAGTTTGACACCCCTGCTCTATTTCATATGATACTTTTATTTCAAAAAATATCAGAAACACTATTATTTTTTGCCTCACTCTTGATCTTGCCCTGCTTTGCAAGAAAAGGGACTGAGGCATTCTTCCCCAGCCACATTACTAAACCCAACAGCATATGATTAATTGCTTCAAAGAGAGGCAGGAAAAAGGAAAAATCATATGGCTTAATTCACAAATCTGTCTGATCTGATTGTAAATTGCAATTATTTCAGACAAATGAATGATTCTTTGTATGAAACAGTACCATTCATATACAAAGCTAACAAAGAGATAGGCATACGGAAAAAAAGTTCTAATCTTATTTTCTATGTAGTTATTTTTATTACTAATTAATAGTTTTAAGCTACTATATATAGAATTTATTTTTACAACATGTATCTTTAGTGTATATAATTCAAATTTACTTACTTGCAAAATGTAGAACACAATATTTATTACCCACTTTATTTTGGCTAGTTGAGCAGTTCGCGTTTTCACTGTTAATAGAAAATAATAATAATGTGTGATTTATATAAACAGAAGTAATATTTTTATGGCAGATTTTATTTCATTCCCATTTACTTGTTTTTACTTATTTATATCTATTTTATCTATTTCACTTTTTTTCAAACAATCAAAACAGAAATTCCAAAAAGAACATAGAACACTGTGTGTGTGTGGGGGGGTACACACATGCACACGCATACACATGAATAGGTAGTCCTTGACTTCAACTATTTGTTAGTGACTGTTCAAAGTTACAACAGCATTGAAAATAGTGACTTATGACCATTTTTCACCCTTACAACTGTTGTAGTACTTCCCATGGTCATGTGATCAAAATTTGGATGCTTAGCAAGTGACTCATATTTATGACAGCTGCAGTGTCCGGGGGTCATGTGATCACCTTTAGCAACCTTCTGATAAGCAAAGTCAATGGGGAAGCCAGATTCACTTAACAACCATGTTACTAACTTAACAGCAGCAGTGATTCAGTTAACAACTGTGGAAAGGTCATAAAATGGGGCAAAACTCACTTAACTATCTTACTTACCAACATAAATTTTAGGCTGAATGGTGGCTGTAAGGCAAGGACTACCTGTATACATACATATACTATACACACACAAACACACACAGCCCTCTATACCTATATCAGGGGTGTCAAACCCAATCGCATCATGGGCTGTATCATGAGGTATTGGGACTTGTTTTGCCCTTGCTGGAC